ACAATACATACAAGTACAGTACAGTATTTTCTGAGGAAACACTCGTACTTATTTTTTTTTAACCCCATTCCCGATAACCCGGCATTTTCACAAACTCGGCCACCCTTCGGTCCACATTAGGCCGAGTTTTCGAGGTTCTACTGTATTACAATGACAATTTTCATGCTAATGACTAATTCTCAATGGATTCAGTTTTGAAATATATGTAATTGTTTTTTTAATTACAATAAAATCTTGTTAAGTTGAAGTTTAAGTGGTAAAAAAATTCTGAGTTAACAAGTTTGATACTCAATTTTCTGAAATATTTTATGGCCATGAGTTTCCTGTTATCAACCATTTCTCAAGACTATTGACAGAATGATTACAAAATTGTTTACAGTTTATGGCACTTTTCAGTATGTTGTCAAGGCACTCCCTTGTGTCCTAATCAGAATACCAGTGACATACTGTATCAGTAGAGACATTTAATTGTCTTGGGCCCTAGGAACAATGGTAAATTTGAGCTTCTTTTTCATATACCTGATAACTACCCATAAGTAAATTTTAAGTGAAGCAATTTCACTTAATATCAATTTTACTTAGTTAATTTTTTATCTGCATTTGCAAATTATGCATTTACAATACAACAACAGTTTAAATAAGTCAGAATCAGATCAGAAAATGCATGAACCTGGCTGAATCCATAATGAATAAAGAATTTTTTTTTTATTTGGGTTCTCTTCATGCCCACAGGACAGAAAGCGTAAAAAATTTGACTAGATTAAAAGTTATAAATTGAAAAAGTTCATTTTAAAATCCTTCTTCTAACTTATGTTTGTAAATTGTTTTACAAAAATCTGATCTGAAAAAAGTTTTTTTTTTACTCTTTCTACTTCATGAGCCCTAAGGCTCTAACGGGGTCTTTTTTTTCAAAGTAGAACCATCATGGATTCTGTCAGATCCATATTGGGACAGTCAGGTGATGATGCTTGACATATCCAGAATGAAACAGCTCTGAAAAAATTCTTTGGATTTTTCAACCTGCAAGGATGTAATATCAGGTCCCCTAGATCATAGGTTAATTGATGTCTTACAGCTTCAACCATCTGGCTGGCAATACACAAAGGGGTTTGCAAATAGACAATTTTGGAGATTGTAAAAGCACAAAAATATTAATTCTAGTTTTGTTGCTGGGCTAGCAGATGGGCTGAGGTATTATTAATGTCCAGCAGTCAGATGACTGAGTGATAAAGATGTCAGCCTATCTGGGGAACCAAGAACAAGTCCAGATGAGTCAAATAAACCCTTGTAATTTTTCAGAGGTGGTCCATGCTGAATATGTCATATACCATCTCTCAACATATGGCCACCCCATTGTGGGCTACGCTGAACCCATAATGGGCTTGATAAAAAAAGCCCTCTTACTGCAAACAGTGCAGGAGTTTTTATAAATATAATTAAAATGTACAGTAAGGCAGTTATTTCACTTATTTATAAAAAAATTTAATTATTTGGTATATTTTTGTAAAACAGAATTAGTACTATTGTTTTTTTTTTACATCTTTCCAGGCTGCAAGCCTCCATTTACTGGGTCCCAGGCAGTTGCCTAATTTGGCTAATGGTTAAAATAACTATCAATAAAAAAGATGTCAACACAAGATTGTGTTTGGCATGGAACTGTAGCATTACTTTCTTTATGAATACAGATGATTAAGGTAAACAAACGCTACAGTTAGCATTTGTTTATCTTAATTGTCTGTATTCATACAGAATATAAGAGAAAGTGAAGATCACAGACCTAAAAAAAGCAGAGGTTACACAGGAAAATAGGTTCAAGTTAAATGTACCATAATTTCAACTTAATCAGATTGTATTATTTGAAAAACCCTATATACTGTGCCTGGGACCTATAGAAAGATTCAAGTTAATGCAACTTCAAGTTAACACAGTTCAACTTAACAAAGCATTACTGTATTTGTTTGTACATTGTAAAAACCATTGTTATATATGTTATATATAACATATATTGTTTTAACAATATATTATATATTGTTATAACAATGTTATATATAACATTGGTTTTTACAATGTACAAACAAATTGCTAATTGAAAAGTCTAAAATAATCTTTAGAATAATCTAAAATAGGACAAAGATTTTTTAATTGATGATTTAAAATATAGTTTATTAGCAACACAAAAACTAATTATTTATTTTTAGATTTAATTTTTTTCCTTCTATAAAAATTATAAACCATAATTTTTTGCATATTGTTAAGCCATAGTGATTAATTTTATTAATTAATTAAAATCAATGTTTATTATAATTGCATTTTTATAAATTATATAATAATTAACTATTATATAATATTTAATAGTTCAGAGTTTTCAGCTAGTAGATCTTCAAAACTAAGCTTTTTACTAGTGATAAATTTATTCTTCTGAAGACAATTTTAGAGAATTTATTTTGAAAAAAGTTTAAATTAAAACATTCATTCCATCAAATAAAATACTTATACTGTATTGAATAGAGATTAAAATTTATAAATATTCTAATGACAAAATCATTTTTATCATGATTATCATTATTATTCATCTAAAAATAAATTACTTGAAATGAAATTAATGAGACATTAATTTGAAATCAGATTTTAAATATTTTATAAGTTAAACAAAATGTCTCAAATTATAAAAACATTTTTCTATATTGAAACTGAGAATAAATACTTATTTATTTTTACATCTAACATGTTTTATTTATTTGATATAATTGATAATGCATGCAATACAATTTTCAGTTGCTTTAACAATACATTATTTAGTTATTAGTCAAGAGTATTAATATATATAATAAAATTTATAAAAAGATTTGAAAAACTTTTCAAGCATCTTCCTAAGTNCATTTTAAAGACAATAAACTTGTTGTTGTTGTTTATTTTCCAACTGTGTTACTGTAGAGCACAACAGGAAGCAGTAACTATTGTCATTAACTATAATATACTGTTTACATTTATATGTAAGTGTTTTATTTATTAACAAAATTTACTGGATCAAAATCACAAAATATTTTCAAATTTCTGAGAATTTTTAATGGAAATAGAAAGTCATGCTACTCGTGTAAAAGAAACTATTCATCATGATTATTCACATTAATACTATAGTAATTTCTTTTTGTTGTAAAGGTTTCGATGAATAAAAAAAATAACAAAAAAAGTAAAAATTAGCAAAGATGACAAAACTTCTATTTGTAAACCTTTTACCAAGTCATCAAATTAATAATGTAAATTTTCGAAACTTAAATGCTTTATCCACACAGAATGACAACTTATAATTCTATAGTAACAATTCTAAATAAAATAAATCTAACCATACAGTTTATAAAAACTGTATGATTAGATTTATTTTTAGAATAGCTTTGAAAGTTATAAATTTAATAAAATAACATATAGCCAAAATTAATTTTTAATTCAAACTATACACAAATTCAGAATGGCATTAGTTAAAAAAATAAAATTTTTCAGATGTTTTCTGTGCACTATTTTTTAAAATTTATATTACCGATTCAATACTTTATTACTTTTTACTACTAAGACTACAACAGTCACAAACGTTTTATATAACTTAAATTACTCAATGATATCTAATATTTATTTAAATCTCTTTTGATACACACAGTTCCATTTTAAATAGAATATAAAAACCAAAATAGTACCCAACTTCTTAATCTTTCAAGCAGTTTGTTTTTTGGTTTTTTTTTTATTCTATTTATTTACTATACACAATGTTTATTTAAGAGAGAGAAATGTATACAAAAAATTGAAACTATAAATATTTAAAACAATGATTTGGAGTGTTGCTACATACAGATGCAATTCATGAACAATAAACCAAGAGGCAGTTAATAGGATAAATTCCTTTGAGATGTGGTGTCTTAGAAGAATAGAAAGAATTAGTTGGATAGATAGAATAACCAATGATGAGATTATGAGTAGATTTGGAATGGAAAGAAACCTGATGGTCAGCATCCAGAGAAGAAAAACAGCAAATGCTGGGCATATAACAAGAGGATCCTCAGGGGAGCTGATGAAAATTGCAGTTCAAGGAATGGTAAAGGGTAGATGAAGAAAGGGAAGACCTAGGCTAACATGACAGGACATCATCAAAAAATGGACTGGCTCAAGCTTGGGAAAAGAATACAACTATAAAGAGTGGAGAAGAACTTGTCCATCAACTACAACTCTCTGTAAAGAGGATGCCATGTGAATGAATGTATGAATGTTTATGGTGTCAAATATTCTGTTTTAAATAAATATAATATAAATTTCTATTATATTCTTAATGATCTTATTTAACTGAAACAAGATTTATTACTTAATAAAATGTATGAAAATTATCAGGTGCACTCGGGATTTAATTTTGGGGAAGCCAAGTCGAACAGATAAAAAAATTAATTCCCACCTTACGTGACTGCTAATTCATAAGTAGTATAGAAATAAAAGACACAACACAGTATTCTATAATGTATTTTCTTTTGAGGGTGCCAAGTCCCCTTGGTCCCCCCTGTGGGTTCATTACTGAAAATTATAAATGTCAAAGTTTATTTCTAAAAGTGAAAGTTGATTTACTAACTGCTTCAGTTTTAATGTATATTTTTCTGGAACAGAAGCAATTTTCTAAGTATGTGTTGAAATGTTGTGAAAATTTTAATCATTTCAAATTATTATTATTAATTAATTAATTAATTAAACTTTCTATCATGATACATTTAATGTAACAATAACCAGAAGCAAATAAAGCATGTAATGTAATGAAAAGGTTTATTTTAATTAATTTATTTTCCAAAAAAAAAAAAAAATGATATTTCCATACAATTGTCCTAATAGGTCATTGGATCAATAGGTCAATATAACTATCTGATAAAAAAAATAATAATAATTTATCCTGTCTCCGATGGGTAATATACATAAAAGACTTTAAATTTAATTAAATTAATTATTTAAATATTAAAAAGAAAAATGTTTACCAAAGTATGTTCATAACCGAGTGCTTCTTGGTCATTTATTTGCTCTTCAGCCATGTTTATTTTGATTTAAAAACTGTAATAAAAATCAAAATAAATAATAAATAAAATACGATGTTATAATTTTCTCAAATTTCATATATTTTCCGATTAAAAACACATGGACTTTATCATTCAACTCTCGGCACAAACGTCTAGTAACATCTGATTACGATTTTTAAATTTTGAGGAAATGACGCAATAAGATTTCCTATATAAACGGAAGTGGATAATGACGTAAGCATGAGTAATTTTTATATTATTTATTTTATGTTCTATAATCTCCGAATGATATTTATAGATAAAAATTTATCACAAAATATTTATTATTATTTATTTATTTTATTTCGATAATTTCGAGTTATATTTAGTTAATCGTCTATAAATATAGCACGAGCGATTAACGTTAGTGACGTAATTACAATTTTTTTTTTTGCAATTTTAGAAAGGAATTTAGAATTAAGAAATTATCAAATATTCTTAATTTAAAAATAAATTTTTTAAATATTTATGTTGAAATTTTTTTTTAATAATTCAAATTTTTTTTTGCGCTTTAAGCTCGTGAGATAATTTTATTTCTACAAAGAAAATTATTAAAAATGAAAATTTATGCATTATTATATAAATTTATAGTGTTTTTCTTTCCTTTTTTAATATATAATTATAACCTGTAAATTGCGTGCTTTGTATTGTAAATAAAGACTTTTGGCAATTGTAGCCTTGTAGCCAGCGATGACGCAAATTTCGCTTCTTTCCTCCCTCCATTATTTAAGTGGAGACATACCTATATAATCACTAGATTTTATAATATTAAAACGTTGTCTATCATACAATCATCGAGAATTACTTTTAAGCACGCTTCAAAGAGACAATAGATTATCTATTCTCATCAAATCATTTTAAGGCTTACTTTCAAGGCTGGGTTTACAAATAAGCTAAGCTATGGCTTAGAACATCCCTCTACCCCAGAAAAAGAATTAATATATTTTTATCCTGTATTATTTGACGGAAAATATAGAGCCTTTTCGTCTACCATATTAGAGACGTAACAAATTTAAATTCGGCACTGTTTACTTTCTTCCTCATTTGCGTATTTTGCACTTTAAATCTAAATTAATTTAATGTTTAAAATTCTGTATTTTAAAATATAATTTCGAGTTAATTTGTCCTTCGTTATAAAATCTTTAATAAAATTATAATAAGAAATTTATTTGTAATTTCTGGAGTCGATCCAGATTTCCCGAATTAGATATTTGCATTTATACAATATGGATATAAGAAAATTTAATTTTATCATCCGAAGATAATAATGATGTTAAATTAATAATGGTAATTAGAGTTTTTCGAATCATGCTGATGGCCTTAGTTGATTTATTATTAATTATTGATATTTAATGATGATAAATGAAATTGCTGATTTGAGAGTTATTGAAAGTAGGTTCCTTATGAAATCTAATTGAGTATATTTCGTAAAGAATTCGTTTCAATAACTTTAAACTGAACATTTATTTATTAACTTACGTATTATCAGCAATATTTTGAAGCAATGTCCTCTAAGAAAATGTTATGGATAATGTTTCCGTAGGAAGAATAATCGACTGTTTTGTCAATTCGCAGAACAAAATGTACTATATTTTTGGTAATACACTTATCGTATTTTTATAATACATTAATGGAATAATTTGGTATGTGTTTGTATATATAAGTGAGTTTGCCCCGGTTGGATGATCAAGGACTTTAAGGAATCCGGAATTGAGTTCCAGCGAGCAGTTCTCTAGGAAGTTTTCATGGGAAATCTGCCGCGGATGTGTTATTCCTCGTCCTCACTATTCAACCGCCCCATTATAGGTCTGGCAGAATCCACGATGTACCAATTGTGGGCCCTCTCAGTGTCTACAGGCGAGAAGAGGGAAGAAAAAAGAACAGGTTTGACACCATGCTCGGGTGATACGTATTTAATATCTTGAAAAGAGGTTTTATCGAAAGCATTCTCAATATCAAGAAAAGCAGCTAACGCAATTTTCTTGACTTTTAGGATTTTTTCAACTTAAAAAACCAAATTGTATAAAACAGTCTCGCGAGATTTACCAAGTTTATAAGTGAGCTGAAGGATGGAGAGGAAGTCTACTCAAATGAGTGTAAAATTCTGAAGTATGAATTCCATCAAATGTGGTCTTTAAATGAGTTTTTCTATTATCTTTAGCATAAAAGACATTAGGCTAATAATTCTAAAATTTTTGCCTTGGATTTAGAATAGGATTTCTTGCCAGGCATTGGAATAAATATTTCATTAATCGGTCATCAAGTCAAAGATGCATAGCCAAATGCCAGACAGGTACAACACACATGACAAAGAATAGGAACCAAAATGTCAGTTTCAAATTGTTGGTGAGTCAGATTAATACTGTCAGGCGCAACTGCCTTAATAAAATTCTAGATACCTTTATTAAAAATTTTAGAAAATTTGAAATGATTGAAACTTACAGGGATTATCGTGGCATTTTTATACAGCATTTCAACTATTTCAATAGAAAAAAAAATGTATATCGGTTCGTTGAAAAATTTCGATTCTTAAATTTAGAGATTCGGAGAAAACTTTAAATAAATTTTCTAGAACAGTGTTTTTCAACTTGTGGATCGCGGGTAAAAGAAAAAGACAAGTGTTTTTAGGTCCTACACTACAATAAAAAAAACTACAATTTCAGTGAGAAGGCTCTACCTGTTTATTTTACAGTACAATTGATTTTTCGATCGATATTTAAGTCTCAACAGAAAGAAAATTAAATACGTAGTTTTTAAAATCACTGATATAGGTTTAATATGGCCCTGTGGGGGGCCGCCAGAATTTTTTAACTTGCAAAGGGGTCGCGTATTCAAGAAGGTTGAAAAACACTGTTCTAGAAGAATGCTTAGTCTTTAGAGCAATATATTCAGCCAAACGTTGATGTTTAAATATACCTGTAAAATATGCTTGTTGTCAGTTTCCAGGAATTGCTTACACATGGACACAAATCATGTTGCATGGAGAAATTCGCTGTTTAATATATATTCAATTGTCATATCCATGCATTAATATGTCACTCGTAAGCGTAAACAGGCAATAGCATATCTGTTTAGTCACGTTTTATCTGTTTGAAATATATTAGAAACTGTTGACAAGCCCAACTTTCGTGTTTACTATCAATGGTATTCAAATCTGTATCTGTTTTTACATCTAATGTATATGTTACCGCTAAAGCTCGAAATCCGTTAATGTGTACATTACCTAGCTAATCTGCAGATTAACTAGGGTGATCCGTTAAAGCTGCAAAAATTGTTCAATTTCTCAAATTACCTAGGTAATTTGCAGAGTATCTAGGTAATCTGCACATTAACGGCTTCCGTATCGTTAAAGTTCAAAAGTTTGTTTCTTTCACTTCCTTTCCCCACTCCTTCTTTTTACGTAGATAAATTTAAATCCTAGAATGCAAGCAAGCACCGAATTGGTGAGTAAAATCAAGAAAAGATTCTTCGCAAACCTCTTTAGCGAAGATTTAAAATATAATACGTAGTGTTTTAATAACAAACCAAAGTATGATTCCATAATTGAAGATGTAAAGCAAATAAAAGTTTCCAAGAAGAAAGAATCATCTCGAGATTATCAAATAATTCAAAGGTGTGATGTGTTGACTGTACGAGGCTGTGAAAAACTCATTGAGCCGTTGTCAGATGCGCGAGAAAGGTTTGAAAAAGTTTGTCCATGCCGGAGAATTGTTTGACATTCGATAAAAACTGAAGAAGACCTTGAAAAATTAGAAGATTCACAAGAGACTGTGATTATGAGATCACAGTCAAATCTTACTCAAGAGGACATTCCGTTATCCCCCGCTTCTACAGAATCACCTATAGAAATACAAGAATTTACCGATAGTAATCTTAAACTGCCTTCTATACCGTTGATTGATGATGCAGTCACGAAGAATATTCAGTTACCCTGCACCTCCAAGGAATCGCCTCTGCAAGTTGAAGAAGTCATCACTGAGTTACTCTCAACTTCAGCAGAATCGCCATCACAGTTTCGTACGGAGCCTGTAAAGAGCACTATACAAGACATAGTCTGTATTGTTTGCTCAAAAGCAGCATCAAGTGCTCACAAGTGTAAATCGTGTAATATGTTTGTTCACGCAGTTTGTGGTGAAGTAGATCCTAAAGAGGAAGGGTATGGTAAGAATGTATTGTGCATCATCTGTAAAAAGAATATGGATCAGAAAATACAGCGTGATGAAGCCAAGAAATGTTTAGAAAAGCAAGCAAAGAAAATGTTAGCAGTTTCTAATGCAAAGCACCCAAACGTCGATGAAGGTTTCGCTGTGAGAATTAAAGTACCCGAAGAAGACAGAGCAAAAACTGATGCACGTTCAATTTTAGCTGTGGTTCTTAGTAAAACAGAGGATGGCTTTTATAAACTTGATACTAAAACAGGTATTTTAAAACAATTGTATGCAAAATCTGAATTCAGTGTTTGCAAAGAGAGATTTTTAACGAAAGAAGATGGATGTCCCTGCTGTAGAAATATCTTTACGTCAAACAGCAATAAAACAATCCCTTGGTACTGGGCAGGGTTTCAGAAAATGTGACTGCAAATCTAAATGTACCACAAATAGGCGTGCTTGTCGCAAAAACCAATTGCTACGTAATTCAAAGTGTCACCAATCTTTAGATTGCACTAATAAGTAAGTACAATTTTATCATATGTTTTGCAAATTCATTTCCCTAATTGTAGTAATATTTTAAACCGTTTGATTTTTGTATTAAAGTTTTTTTAATTGATTGATGATTGATTCAATCAACTAATTTGTTGATTGTATTAACTTGATTCTTTAGATATTGAAAATTAAATAAATAACATTATGTTAATTTAAGCGTACAGAAACGTTGCTGTTGTTCCAGCAAAAATCTTATTTTCACTTTACCGAGTGCCTAGTAGGTAATTTGCAGATTACCTAGATAATCTGAACATTACCTAGGTAATTTGAGAAATGGAATAATTTTCGCAGCTTTAACGGATCGCCCTAGTTAATCTGCAGATTAGCTAGGTAATGTGCACATTAACGGATTTCGAGCTTTAGCGGTAACATATACATTGATTCTAACCTATACATTGACTCTGCAATAAATTCATGAAAAACAAAAAATTAAGCCC